TGTGCTGCATGAGTATACGCCCTGTGGCGGATATGGACCCCAGCTGATTTGGGCCATTTCAACATAATCTCATACTCCTCCAAGGTAGGCACCATATCGAACTGCGGAAATTCAAAGCAACGCAGACTGGAGTTCCAGAAGTGAATTAATACCCTGAGGAATACTTGATCGACACAGATCTTTAGCAGGTCGAGAATCCGTCCATAGGATTTTTCAAAGTCGGCGTGGACCTCCGGTGGCATTATCGTGCAAAGCCGTTCCAACTTCTCAGTATGATATCGGGGAATATCCACCTTCTTCAATTGTCTACTAGTCCCCTCTATTTTCTAAAACCAAAATGCATGTTTTATGAAAATGATGCTTATTTGAATGAATGTGAGTGTTTATTTTTGTTTATCATGTTTTGTATGATTTTTATTTTTTCGAAAAAAATAAACTACCTATATGAATGATTTGGGATGTTTAAGAATCAGGTCCCATTTATTGTTTTGGAAACAGATTTTATTTAGTATTTTATTTTTATTTATTTGTTTATTTTATAGCCGTTTATCTCTTCTGTCGGAACTGCGTGGCTACTTAGCTTACAAAGAACCTGAAACCAGGCTAGCTAAAAGGCAGACTGTCCGAGATAAGGGTGTTTATTGCAAAAATATTTTTTGTGATTTTCCTTCTGTTGTTTGGTTATGTTATGCAACAAACAAATGCAACAAACATATGCACACACAATTCGATCATCCACGAACAGGCGAGAATTCGTTTTTATCACGAGGTAGGGTTTTCCTGCAGAAAAGTGATTTGGCGAAGGTAGGTTCTAATTGTCCTCACCAAGGCTAAGGCCCCCAAGGTGCCCCCATTATAGGGTCCCCACTCTCCAGCCTTCTGACCATGCTTAGCACTAAGACCATAGTCAGTCTTTGTGCCAAAAGAGGAAGGTTATCACCTTGAGTGATGGTTTCCGATCACACCGGTGGGCACAAGGCCATCACTACAGCGAACCGTACCTGCCACCCACTCCCTATGGATTTCTCACTTGCCCCAGGGTATAGAGGGAACTGTTGTGTGCAAGGGTTTGTGTACAATTTTTATTTCACACAATTGCGTAAGTATAAACAAACAACAGTTATTAAAGCCAAACAGTAAAACATGTTATAATACAAGGTAGGGCAAAAAGCGTTATTTTCTTGGTTTATTTATTTTTAAGCCGGCCCATCACTAAATGGGATCAACTCTCTAGGCTTCCCCAGCGGAGTCGCCATCTGTCGCCGCCGTCAAAACGAGGGTGGTCGGAGCAACGCGATGGTTTCGACTCTCTTTGATTTTTGCATTTTTTATTGGTGGTTACAACGCCTTTAGGTTGTCCGATAACTGGGCTGAACCTAGGGGCGATGTTTTCAAAAGGGTGCTCTTGGATTGTCCGATAATCGGGCTAATCCAAGAGCTAGTTTTTGAGGGTTCTCTGGAGTCGCCACCGATGTTTTTACCGGAAACATCGGAAAAGGAGTTTAAAAGGCGTTGGTTTTCGAAAAACCAACTTTGGTCGTTAGAACCAGAGTTGGGTAAGGGAGTTAGTTACGCGTAAAGGAAGTGTTAGTTCCTTTATGACGCCCCTTTCGGGTTCCCTATGATAGGCCAGCTATTCTGTTAATAAATAAACCGGAAAAATATGCTTTTGCCCTTTTATTTTGTGGAATTTAAAGATTACGACTACATGGCCCTAATGTCTATTGCATAATTTAAACAATGTGGTAAAAGATAGAGAGAGAAAGTAGGAACCTCCGAAGCTAGCTTTCTATTAATTCTTTTAAAATATGGTGCTTTGCGACAACCCTTCACTCTACACAGCGTCAGAAACCTCTCAAAACGCTCTAAAAACACTCTAAAGACACTCAGAAGCTCTGGAAATGCGTCGGAGGGATTATAGAGAGAGAAACTATTGATGTGACTAGAGAGAGAGTGAGAAAACTGTGTGAAATGAGGGGAAGGGAGGCCCTATTTATAGGGATTGGCGCCTGTTAGGTCGAGACGGCCGTCTCGTCTGACAAGGTCGAGACGACCGTCTCGACATTCCAGACGACCGTCTCGCCTTGCAGGAATGGCGAGACGGCGGTCTCGCCAAATGAGACGGCGGTCTCGCCTTTCGCAGGTGGTGAGACGACTGTCTTGCTAAACGAGACGGCGGTCTCGCCACTTGCGCAAGGTGAGACGGCGGTCTCGAATCCGAGACGGCGATCTCGCCACTTGTGCAAGGCGAGACGGCGATCTCGAATCCGAGACGGCGGTCTCGACCCCAAAAGGCGAAAATCCTTATTTTTGTGCCAAAAATCCCTCCTATCCTAGTATGGGGCCTAATAGTCTCTCCTAGTGGCTTCTTAGGCTTCGTCCATCTTCGAAAAGGAGGTCTTCTGATCTTTATTGTGAGACCGGGCAAGATTTGAGGTCTACACATGTAATTTACTTTCATGCAATTTACGTTCGATCAATCATTTACATTTATCAACTTTAAGATTATGTCCTTTCAATTCCTTGTCATTTACCTTTATGCAAGTTAAGATTCTGTGTTTAAGTTTCTCGCCATTTATACTTCTACAATTTCGATTTCCTACTATTTACATTTCTGCAATTTTGATTTTCTGCTATGTACACTTTTGCAATTTCGATTTCCTGCTATTTATATTTTTGCAATTTCAATTCATTGCCATTTACACTTAATGCAATTTTAAGGTTCCGCATTTTCATTTCTCTGCAATTTAATATTCTGCATTGTTTTTCGTCTCGATACCTTTTTACTGTTTTCTTTACTTCGAGTTTCTTAATAAAAAATACAAAAAATAGTACTTTGGATTTCGATATGCATGTTTTATCACACTTTCTGTGTTTTTAATATACGTGCATGTTTTATCTTTCATTCGGCTCGATAGTGTGGCGTTTTTTATTTTTATACATGTTTTGATTGAAAACTGTTTGCTAACCTAAATAAAAAGAATTTACGTGATTGAAAGTTGGTTAAAACCTAAGTCTCTAAAAAATCGAAATTGATCAAATTTTCACCGAAAAGAGTTACATTAAATACAAATAACACATCGTGTATTCTAATTCAGAATTGCTATTATATTTGTTTTCTGCTCCTCGGTTAGTGAGGTTGGGAATAGAACCTCAAACTTGGCGTCTGTTTGTGCTCATACGAAATCCCTCACCTACTCTGGATTTGTGATTCCATGATGATCAAAACAAGTACGTGTCATTTCTTACAAATGCAGTTAAATATCCCTTTCTATTGACCATCATCCAAATATGTAATGGTCACGAGTTCAAATTAATTGAATAAAATTAATATTTTTATATTTAAAGAAATTATTTTAACTAAAAGAAAGGCATGTAAAAAAAAGCTATGTAGACGATTGTACATGTGTAAACATTTAACTGACCAGTTAACACATGTGAGTAAAAACCAAAAAAAGTTATACCTATTGTATTAACGCTAGTCAATTTTTCACAATTGAACTAAAAACGAAAATCAACGATACATGTTATATGAAAAACATATAATAAATTAACATATCACTAATATTTTTCATGTAACAATGTTTGCGTCAGAGTTTAATAACACCATTAATATATATGATTTTAAAACTCAAATGCAATTATATTTACAAACACCATTGTATACTAAACAATGAAATTTGACCATGAAAAAGTATATTCGACCTTTTTTTATTATTATTCATAACAAAAATCGCACATATTTCTTTCTACATTCATATTTCCAAATCAACTCTGATGTTTTCATTATTTCCTTCAAAAGACCACCTTAACTGGTGTGTTTTTTTCAGCTTAAAAACACCCTTAAAATGAGAAATTGTCCTTCTACATCTAATGCTCGGAATTTGCTCTAAAAATAGAATACGATTTACTTCAAACAATTCCTAAACTTTTCAATTTATTTGCTCTGATTGCATGATCTCCACTCTATCTATTTTAAGCACAGAAATAACTTTTTTGGACAACCAATCTCCGGTTGAACACTTTAGACTTCTACTTATAGAACTGGAAATCCTTAACAGACATGAATGTAAAAAAAGCATCAAAGGGCTCCACTAGTTGAGTTAGAACGGATAATGACATCATTTAATCAAATTTGATGCATGTACTCAGACGTGGTGAATATGATGCACCAATTTTTTCAAGGTTAAATCCAAAATTATTTCAATTTTATTGTGTAGAATTAAATTGAACTACTGATATATTTTTACTGTTTGATGGACTTTTTCCATGTTTTTACTCTCATAAATAAATACACAAACTCGCACACAATGTAATTTTTACATGAACTTACAAATGAAATTGGGGAATGGAATGTCAATTTATAAAATTTAGTGAGCATAGCTATGAAGTGATTTGCTGTCCTAAATTTTTTAACCAGTTGTGTTAAGTGATTTGCTGTCCTAGTGTTGATTCCTTGTCTATACACCTTCTAAACTTTATTCTGTGGCTGAGACTTGTGCTCTCACCTTAGAGACAAGATCTTATTTAAAAAGGGATGCATAATACATAATTGCCAATTGCTTATAGTCTTTCTAATAAATGTTTCTGAAAGATTACCTGCCCATCTTGCATGTCTTTCTAATAAATGTTTCTTAAAGATTACCTGCCCATCTTGCATGTCTTTCTCAACATCTCATATTTGACATTTGGACATTGCTCACAAACTTGAGCAAGTAAATTAAGAAATAGGAGAGAAAAATTTATCAGATAAAATAACACCAGGAATAAAAATTAACAGGCACATACACTGTCCCTTGAATGGAAAAGAAGAATTACTTGGCTTTATAACATTTTTCTCCCTCCAAACTGGATAATAAAAAAGAGCCATGAGATAAAAAAAATGAAACTGAGAAGCAATCACCCAACCTTAGAAGTTTATACTGCTAATAAAATAACTATTGTAGTTTACAACTTCTCTGTACTTCTGACCAATTAGAAATGATGGGTCAGTGTATAAATTATGCATCCCTAAAACCATCTTTGGCCTGCTTAATAGAACAGTTTATAAAGACTGCATTGGTCACATCTAAAATATGGGATCTCAACTTCTTGAGAACTAACGTGCTTACAGCTATACTCTGCTATACTTCACTAAACTTTACTAATAATCCCTTTTTCATGCTAACCTTGTCCAAGACCTTGACCAACTTTGTAGATTGTAACTAAGACATTGTAACTAAGACGGGACAGGAGTGGTTGTAATTAAGCCAATCTTTTTTCAACATATCCCCTCGCACTTCAGAAACGCGAAAGGTGAAGAGTAGCTATACCTTGAAGTAACCTCCCATGTACAAGTCTTGGACGTTGCATCCAATTCAACAACCACGTCATCGCCTTTCACAATCCTTTCTTCCTCCTCCACCAAAGAAGCTGAAAGAAGCATCCACATTCCACAATAAACAAAGAAACACAAATTCAAGACTCAAACAAAACCACTCCTAATGAAATAGTTACAACACAGTGATACGCGAAAGCACCAAAATGATACGTGAAAAAAGTAGGTAAAGAAATATCCCTTTTCAAGATGGGACGTATCTCCAGAGAATAATAGAATTCGAATGATTATATCACCACTTTTTCCTCCCCTCATTTCCATCATAATTAGTCTTAAATATTCTGAGTTAAGTGGACCCAAAACAAATGAAATGGAAATAACTATTAAAATAAATAAATCTATTTAGTAACAAACTCGGTCATCCAATTTGGGGCTTTCCTGATCCTTTTGGGCTTGTTTGCTCCTTCAATAGCACTTGGCCTAATAATTTCTTCTTCGATTGGTGGTTCAGTATCAATACTTGGCTCGTCAAGAAGGACCTTGTCCTCAAGGTCCAGATCAGGATAAGTCGCCTTGAGTGGTTGTAAAGACTCCCAAGTGGCTTCACTTTCAGATTGTGTTGTCCACTGAACTAGAACCTGTCGTAGAGGAGAACCATTAGAGGTGGCGGTGCGAAACCCGAGAAGTTTGGCTGGGGTGAGCAGCGGATGAGGACCCAGTGTCGAAGGAGGTAGAGGACGCTGCTCGAAAGGGGGATCTCCATGACAGCGTTTGAGGACGGAGACGTGGAAGACAGGGTGGATCCTCGAGTCTGGAGGGAGTTGAAGCTCATAAGCGACCTTACCGAGTCGGCGGAGCACCCTGAAAGGCCCAAAGAAACGACGAACAAGCTTCTGAGAGGATCGCCGTTGAATCGAAACTTGGCGGTATGGTGTGAGTTTGAGGTAAACCCAATCCCCTTCGAAGAAAACCATGTCTTGTCGGTGAGCATCGGCTTGCTGCTTCATCCGGTGTTGTGCACGAGCAAGATTGTCCTTCAACTGACGCAAAAGCTTTTGTCTGTGAAGCAAGTGTTCTTCAATAGAAGCAATTGCAGTGGAGCCTGGAAGGAGATCTAACACCGGAGGTGGAGGGCGGCCATAGAGAGCTTGAAAAGGCGACATCTGAATCGAAGAATGGAAGCTTGTATTATACCAAAATTCGGCTAAATGAAGAACTTTTGACCACAGATGGGGCTCTTCCGCCACAAAACAACGGAGATAAGTCTCCAGACAACGATTAAGGACTTCGGATTGACCATCGGTTTGAGGATGGTAAGCGGTGCTGAACGCTAGCTGAGTGCCCAAGAGCCGAAATGTCTCCTTCCAAAACTTGCTAACAAACACCCTGTCTCTGTCTGATATTATTGTTTTTGGAGTACCATGAAACTTGCATATTTCAGAGACAAATTTGCGGCCAACAGTGAGGCAGTATAATGGGTGCGTAAGGGCAAGAAATGGGCGAACTTAGTGAACCAATCAATGATCACCCATATAGTAGTGAATCCATTAGAGCTGGGCAAGTGAGTGATGAAGTCCATAGCAATGTCCTCCCACACCTGAGTAGGTGTAGGGAGTGGTTGGAGTAAGCCTGATAGCTTAGCAGTAGAGTACTTTGATTGTTGGCAAGTGTGACAGTTTCTGACATAGGTCTTGGCATCTTTGTATAGACTAGCCCAGTGGAAGGTGGAAGTCAAGCGTACAACCGTGGCCTTAATGCCGGAGTGGCCAGCCACCAGAGTGTCATGAAACTCGAAAAGAAGTAGGTGCTGCAGATTGGACTCACGAGGGACATGAATGCAGGAATTAAAGTATAACAACCCATTCAAGTATGTGAACTTGGCTCCGAACTTGTCATCATTGTGCCACCTTTCCACCAATTTTTGGCCCTGTGTATCGTGTAAGTAAAACTGTCTTAACTGAGACAGCAAGTTAGGAGTAGCAGTAGAAATGGCGGAGAGGAAAATGGATTCAGAGGCTGAGTGTGTGCGTCGTGACAGAGCATCGGTAGCACGATTGTCCACACCAGGTTTGTAGAATATTTCATAATCGAAGCCAAGTAGTTTAGTGAGCCATTTCTGTTGTTCGAGAGTTTGAGTAAACTGTGTCAACAAATTTTTCAAGCTTTTTTTGGTCTGTATAAATTCGAAATTTCCTTCCCAGTAAATAATGACGCCACTTCTTAACAGATTCAGTGATGGAGAACATTTCGCGAGCATATGTGGAGGCTAACTGCATCCGAGGGCACATCTTTTTACTAAAGTAAGCAACAGGGTGAGATTTCTGGGAAAGGATCGAGCCAATAGCGGTGGAGGAAGCATCACACTCCAAATCGAAAGGGATGGAGAAGTCTGGAAGCTGTGAAATTGGGGTAGTTGTCAAATCCTTTTGTAATTGTGAGAAAGCCTCATTGGCTTCAGTACTCCATAAAAATGTAGGGGATTTTAATATATCTGTAAGTGGACTTGCAATGGCTGCATAGTTATGGAAAAATTTTCTGTAGTAACCTGAGAGGCCCAAGAAACCTCTCAAATCTGTCATGGATTTTGGTTTGGGCCATTCCAAAATTGCTTGGATTTTGGAAGAATCCACTTGAACACCAGCACCTGAAATAATATGACCCAAGTAGGATACAGAAGTGACCCCAAACAGACATTTGGAATATTTCACAAAGAATTTTTGATCAAGCAATAATTGTAAAATCTGACGCAAATAAGTCAAATGTGAATTCCAATCTGCTGAATATATTAATATGTCATCAAAAAATACCAACGCGAAACGCCGCAAAAATGGCCTAAGTAAGTCATTCATTGCAGCCTGGAAAGTAGAGGGTGCATTGGACAACCTGAAAGGCATAACAACAAATTCAAAATGTCCATCAATAGTGCGGAATGCTGTTTTAGAAATGTCCGTCGGAGCCACACGAATCTGGTTAAAACCAGAACGCAAATCCAAACGAGTAAAATAATGTGCACCATGGAGCTCGTCAAGGAGCTCATCAACAGTAGGGATTGGATATCTATTAGGAATAGTGATAGCATTCAACACCCTGTAATCCACACAAAACCGCCAGGAGCCATGTTTCTTCTTCACAAGAAGAACTGGCGATGAGTAGGGACTTGTGCTGGGTTTAATCAACCCATCAACCAACATTTCAGCAATCAACTTGGTCATGGTGGCGCGGTGGCATTGAGGATACCGGTAGGGCCGAACATTAACAGGGGTTGAATTGGGCTTGACATGAATGTGATGATCATGAGGCCTGGTGGGCGGGAGCCCGTGAGGTTTGTCAAAGACCTCCTTATAAGAGGTGAGGATGGAAAAGAGTGTTAAGTCCATATGTGGGGGTGCTTCAAAAGGGACTGTATCTGTAGGAAGAGGGTGTGGTGTGGCATTGGAATCTGTGGGGGTAGCATGTTGCCCAATAGAAATGCTATAAAGTGCAGCAACAACATTAGTATCAAGCATACGAGTTAGTTGATGAAAGGAGGCTACACGAGGGGATTTTATGTCACTACCCATAAGAGTCACGGTTTCATTGTTAAGAGTGAAGGACATTTGCGGGACAGAATAATCAGTCAATACAGGTCCCAAAGTACTTAACCATTGTACACCAAGTACTATGTCAGCCCCTTGTATTGGTAAGATATAAAGGGAAATAGTAAAAACTTGACCATTCAACAGTAATGGAACATTCTCACAAACCCCAGAATAGTAAATAAATTGACCATTACCAACCATGACAGAAAAAACAGGGGCTGCAGAAATTGGCAAATTGAGAAACGTGACAACTCTGGGCTGAATGATGTTGTGAGAACTGCCAGAGTCCACTAAAACAGTGAACGAGTGGCCCTGCATACAGCCTGGGATGCGTAGGGTGCGTGGTGTGAGGTCCCCCAAGATGGCACAAGTAGAGAGCTGGAAATGGGTTAATTCCTCCCCGGGAGAGGGATTAGTAGTAGGGGAAGGTGGGTCACGATTTGGGGGTGGTGTAGGGTCCAACGTGTCATCAGAGGTGGGTGGATCCTCTGGAAGCAGGAGGAGTAGGTGCTTGGGGCGACAATTGTGGCCAATGTGATATTTGTCGTTATAGTAAAAGCAAAGGCCCTTGGCTCGTTTCTCTTGGATTTCTGCCGGGGACAGCTTGTTCCACAATAACGATGGGGTAGTTGGGGTGGGTAATAAAGGCTTAGAAGGTGGTTGTTGGAGTAAAGGTGGGGGGTTATACTGTCGGGGCGTGTAATGAGGGAATGAGCAGCGATCATCAATTTTGGATTCAACCAGTTTTGCTAGCCCGATAGCGTTGGAAATGGATTGGGGTTGGTATATGGCGATCTCACGCTGAATTTCCGGTTTGAGGCCAGAAATGAAGCAATTGAGAATGGCGTCTGGGGAAAGACCGAAGACGCGGTTGGAGATCTTCTCGAACTACAGTTGATATTCGGTGACAGATGTGGTTTGACGGAGCTTGAACAAGGTCCCTTGGTGGTTCTCGAACGAGGAGGGGCCAAAGCGAGTCTCCAAGGCTCGAGTGAAAGCGGGCCATGAGGTGAGTTGGTTGGTATGGACAAACCACTTGAACCAACTAAGAGCGACACCGGTCATGTAAAATGGAACCATCTCCAATCGATGTTCAGCGTCAACGTGGTACATTTCAAAGAACTACTCCGCTTGAAAAATCCATTCAAGCGGATCTGAGCCATCAAAGGTCTGGAGGTGAATTTTTGGGGGACGAGGGATATAGGTATTATTGTGAGAAAATGGGTTATGGTGGGGAGGGATTGAATCTGATGAAGAAGATGGTGAACGGGTAGCTAGACGTTGTTGGAGATCGGCAACAGCAGATGAGAGGTGGTCATGGCGAGCCTCCATGGTGAGTTGGAACTCAGCCATTTTGGCCACGAGCATGGCTTCAACGCGAGAGACAAGGTCATCAGCGTTGATTTGTTTCTTAGGAGGCATGGTAACGGAATGAAAGCACCAAAATGATACGTGAAAAAATTAGGTAAAGAAATATCCCTTTTCGAGATGGGACAGATCTCCAGAGAATAACAGAATTTGAATGATTGTATCACC